AGAATCTCGTGCTGAGCACGGGGGAAGAGTGGCCCCTCACCCACCTCATGGCTGGTGCTTCCTGCTGCAGGCACTTGCAGCCTACACGGAGCTGGCCTGAGCAGGCACAGGCAGCGCCATGCAGGCTGTGAGCAGCTGCAGTGTGGGGCACTGGCCACATGGTGAGCAAGGGGCTGTTCTACCCACGCTCAGCACCAGCTTGTAACCTGCCCTGCTGCCAGCCTGGCAGTGGGGCCAGGTTACAAGGTGGTGCTGGGGCGGGGGAAAGCAGCCCCTCCCCGCCCCATGCCTGGTGCCCCACACTGCAGCCGCTTGCAGTCCACCTGGGGCTGAGTCCACCTGGGGCCAGCCATGGGGCGGGTGAGGGGCCACTCTTCTCTGCGCAAGGAAGGAGCCCAGGGAAAAGCTGAGTGCGGGGGGAAAAGTGGCCCCTCCACTGCCCCATGGCCGGCGCTTCCTGCAGCAGGTGCTTGCAGCCCACGCGGGGCTGTCCGGAGCAGGCACAGACAGCCCAACGTGGGCTCCAAGCAGCTCCAACACAAGGCGCCGGCAAGAGGGCAGAGGAGGGGCCACTTCCCCCTGTGCTCCTTTGTTGTCCGGGGTCCCCCTGCCCTTCTCCCTCCCGCCCCACTTACCTGCAGTTCTGGCGTGGGGCAGCCACGTGTTCCCAGGCCAGAAGCCTGGGCTGGGGCCAGGTGGCCCTGCTGTTGTTGGAGCCCACTGGGCTTCCCCTGGATCCTACTGCCCTTGGTTCCTGTCATTTTTGGCAGGAATCAAGGGCAGAGAGATATTAATTTCCTACATTTTTTAGGGGCCCTGCAGGATGGATAGAATGGCCTCGTGGGCCGAAGTCGGCCTGCGGGCTGTATTTTGCCCACCCGTGCTTTAGGTACATATGACTGGGTTACAAGAACTGGAGAAGTTCATAGATTCATAGATGCTAGGGTCGGAAGGGACCTCAACAGATCATCAAGTCCAACCCCCTGCCTAGGCAGGAAAGAGTGCTGGGGTCAGATGACCCCAGCCAGATACCTGTCTTGCCTTCTCTTAAAGACCTCCAAGGTAGGGGAGAGCACCACCTCCATTGGAAGCCCATTCCAAATTTTGTCTGCTCTTACTGTGAAGAAGTTTTTTCCTGATATCTAGCCTAAATCTGTTGTCTGTCAGTTTGTGATCATTGTTCCTTGAAGGCAAGTTGTATTGCCTTCTTTTACTTGATAGCCTGTTGATCAAGGCACTCATCAAAGGAAGTGGGCCACCTACCTTTGATCCATTCCTCAATCTGTGGGGTTTCAAATCCATATCTCTGGGCTCCCAGGAGGGTGCCTGAACTGGCAGACCATAGAGTAGGTAGGATAGGAGTCTTCTTCCTTTCTCTGGAGTTTGTGTAACTTTGCAGAAATGGCTTAAATGCCTAAATGACCACTAAACCCTCTTACTGGGTTAACTTAATAAGAGATTCAAAAAAATCCACAAGTTTAAATTAGGCTAAGCTGCCTATTTTAGATCCATTTCAGTGGGAATTTTTAAACTTATTTTTATTGAGGTTTTCTGTTTTTCTTCCTGCTCTAGCACTGAAATTGCAGGTCTCTGTTATTGGATTTGACCTAATAAGGAGCTGCACATAAAGTGAGGAATACTTTAAACCATGTCATTCCTATACCCATAGCAGCATTTTAACCAGTGATTTGTTGGTTGTACTTTCATACTGGGAAAGATTAAATAAAGGCAATAATACGTTGTTTTTTCTAGAAAGAAAACTGAATATAGTGTCTGGTGTATGAAGGTTCCAAGTTGCTTTAGAGAAATCCAGATATTTTGATTACTGAACTCTTTGCACAGGTGTACTATTAATAAAGTAACATTTAAGCCCCATGTGACCAGCATGAAGTCCAGTGTCTATATCAATTTTTCAATGCAGTTGTCTTTTCAGTGAATCAAATACAAAGTAGTATTGCCTCTTAGAGCTTTTTCTTTGTCTTTTGAGTCACATGATTAATAGTATAGCTATCTGCTGTAATTAGCTAACAAATCAAGGTGCTCTTAAAGCAACACCTGTTTGTTTTTGTAGGACTCTGAATGCAGAGCCCTGTACTATTGGTTGGTGATATAGGATTCTTCCAGTAGAGTTGGAACATGGAAAATGAACCAGGCTGGCTATGAAGTAGCTACTCCACAGACAGTGAAATTGCTAGTTACTGGTTAGCTACATTTCTATATTTATTTTGCTGCTTTTTGTTTTTCATTGCATTTTATTTTTCCATATTTTGAAACAGTTGCCAATGAGATAAAGTTGCACCAGATCTAAACTGTCTTTGCCACAGCCTTCCAGGATACACACTCAAGTGTTGATGCTGTGATTTTATTAGGAGAGGAATTGCCCTAGCTTCCCTTGGTGGCCCCATTTATGCAATAGGAGGGTTAGATGACAACACTTGCTTCAGTGATGTGGAGAGATATGACATTGAATCCGATCGATGGAGTGGAGTAGCATCAATGAACACACCCAGAGGAGGAGTTGGCTCCGTGGCTCTTGTGGTAAGTTAATGCTTCCCTGAGTCCAGTACTGAAGTCAAGGCATTCTGTGAGGAGGCACAGAATTACTTCTGGGACCATTTTCCAAATAATATTTATAATTTAGGCTTTGACCATTTGTGGCCCTTAAATCCCCAGAAGTTCAAGGTGTTAACACTGGCATTCCCACCAAATAGATGTGGGCCTGTATGTGACCACAGCATTCAAACTACTCTTTTAATCCTATAATCAAAAAGTTGGCCCATTGAAAGAATTTTAGCGATGCATTTGGGGGTATAATTAGAGAAAAAGAGGAGAGGAAAAAGTCGGTTCTGGATCTCATTTACATGAGTCAGACTTGTACATAGCAGCAGAATGTTAAATAAAATACCTATGACCTTTCTGCAAAGTGGTGGAATTACTTGCCCTAAACAAACAGAATTTTTCAGTTCTCAGCTGGGAGGGTAGCACTTTGTACCAGTGTGAGTGGCATATGGTGTAAAGTGTTGTAGAATCAAAACTATTGCCATCAGTTGTGAGGTTTATTTGTTGAAAAGGATCAGGGCAATGGAACAAGACATTGAGTTTTGCTCTCAAAGTACTTTGGCATTCCATACAAAAAGCTATGATACCTGTGGATGTTTATTCCATGCCAAATTTTTCTTTCAGAGTTATGTGTATGCTGTTGGTGGCAATGATGGTGTAGCCTCTCTTTCCAGTGTTGAGAAATATGACCCCCATCTGGATAAATGGATAGAAGTGAAGGAGATGGGCCAACGAAGAGCTGGTAATGGGGTTAGTGAACTCCACGGTTGCTTGTATGTTGTAGGTGAGTAGAACTTCATTTTCTTCTTAATTAATAGGACACACAGTACCTGTATGAGAATGAAGCTCTTTCAGCATAAATATGCTGATGCTGAATAGTACTGTTCTAAATTTTAAAAACTTAGCATGTTTTAGAAACAGGCCCCTGTGCACCTCCCTTGACCAAAGGATTGATCTGGTATATCCTGATCCTGGTTCATCCTTAAATTTGCCAGACTAAATCTAGGTGCAATGCAAAGACTGTTTAAAAAATATTGTATATGCTAAGCAAGGATCTCATGCATATGTCAAACTGTCCTGTTAAACTGATGAGAAGATGCACTTTCACCATTACTAATCAACACTTTGACAGAATGCTTCCAATCAGGGATGGGGAGCTAGTATAAAACACCTACAGGTTTGGAATATGTGTAATCAGCAGGAAACTCATCTGTATATATGTTTTGAAACTAATCAGTCACTTCTCACTCTGTCTGACCGGCATGGAGAAGTGGTCTTTTCCATGCTATATAGTTCAGATACTGACAGAACACCACAAACATGCAAGCAACACAATCACCTTCACTGGCAGGAGGCTGTTCAGCTTTGGACTTTGTACATTCAGATTACCAGGTTACTGTAGCCTGCTGTTCATAAAAAAATTCTTTAGAAGATGAAATACGTATTGTCTGTGTTGTATCAGTTTGTGCCTTCTGGTTGATCTTATTGGTACAGAAAATCCTAAAGAAACTTGAAGTAGGGTAGAAGGTTTAGTCATAATGGCTCTTAACATAGACAAAGCAGTTTTGGTGGTTAAAAAAAAAAAAAGATCTGTATGCAGGCCTTAATCATATTAATCATATTATCTCTTCTGTCCAACAGTCCATCAGAATCATGGTCAGATCCTGTAGCCAGTGAGGAATAGTCCTATTTAGTCCTATTCAGAGCTTGGCAATCTCTTAAGAGTGGTGGTGAAATTAGTTTAGCTCACTCTGAAGACAAGCCACCACTTCTGACCTGGCTTCCGCTTCCCTTGCTGCTGCTTTCAATTTTCCTTCAGCCACTGATTTGCAGCTGATATCCTGCCTTTGCAGGCCAGATGAAATAACTTCGTAGGCCACATCCAGCCCAGGGGTTGCCAACCCCTGTTCTGACACACGGCATCAAAAAAAGACAGCATTCAGACACTAGTCTTACCAGATGTTTTTTCCATTTGGACATTACTTCAAAGTAGCAGAAATAAGAATTTATCTGTTTGTTAGCCCTCAGCTAATTGGGTTGTTCTGTCACCTTCAGAACTATATGTACTACTGTAATTATTTTTAGCAGCAGTTTTCTACTGTGTACCATCTGTGATGTGTTCTCTCCCCATAATTGTTAAATTCCTCTAAGATTTCATTTTCCCTTGTTTAGAAGCTTCTGCCTTACTGGATGTCAAGTACAGTAACAAATTAAATAGTCCCATAATGAGTCTCTAGCAACTTGTTTGCATATCACCTGTCCTTGAAAAAAGCCTTCCTAATCATGCTTTGGCTTGGAGAGTAGAGAAAAAATAATCAGGCTATCAAAAAATATGATCAGAAAAAAATACAGGCTATCTTGGGGTGGTCATAGGATCATGTGAGAGTAGGGCTGGAATAGGCCTCACTAGGTCACCTAGCCCAGCTTCTTGTTCAGACAGGATCCTCCCTGACTAAACCATCCCATCTAAGTTTCTGTCGAACCTGCTCTTGAAAACTTCCAGGAATGGAGATTCTGCAGCTTCTTTAGGTAACAATGGTTCAAAGCTTTACCACTCACAGAGATGGAAAGTTCTTCCTAATCGCCAACCTAAATTTCCCCTGCTGCAGGCCATTGCCACAGAAGATATTTGTCCCCATCCCTATTGTTCCCTATAGCCACAGAGAATACTTTATCTCCATCCTTTCTATAATCACACTTTAGGTATTTGAAGACAGTTATCCAATCCCCCTCAGTTTTCTCTTCTTCAGACTATATCATCCTAGTTCTTCAGTCCTTCCTTGTGAGTCATGCTTCCCAGGCCTCTAATCATTTTTGTCACTCTCCGCTGGACTCTTTCCAATCTATCTACATCCTTGAAGAGTAGGGCCCAAACCTGGATACAGTACTCCAGGTGAGGCCTCACCAGCGCTGAATAGAGCAGAAGAATCTAGAGCTGTACCGATATATTGGTTGTATATTGGCACCAATAAAAGCAAAATTAACATTATCAGCCATTGGCTTTTTTTTGGCTGGAATACCTGATAATGTCACTGATAAATGCCATGTGCATGCACGCAGATGTTGGCACTGGATTTGTACCCAGCCCATATACCTTTGCTCTGGGTGAGCACAACACTCAGACTGACCACAACACCTGCCAGTTGATAATGGGCGACTTTACTGATACACAGTGATAGCAAAAAAGCAACAATACAAACAATCAAGCAATTCTATATTTATCAATCCTAGGGCTGTCGTCAGAGTCAAAGTACATCTGGTCAGGATGCAGGTTCCACTCTGAGGCTCTCTCTTTGATGTCAGCAGTCTGGAGGTGGGATGCCAAGGCCCACAGCCCCCCTCCAGTGGGGTGCATGAGACAGGCTGCTGGTATGCCTTCTGTCCATGTCAGCCTTGGGGACCCTTCCTGGAGGACAAGTATGCAGATGGGGACCCCTCTCAGGGAGCAAAATGGGGAGGGACAGGGAGAGACCCTTTGATAATGTCAAGTCTCTGCTTTTGTATTCTCCTTCCCCCTTGACTCCTGATGACTCTTCATCTGTGGGTATATCCGGTTGTCTGTCTCTCAGTGGTCACATGTCCATGTAGCCTTCTGGGCTTTCTCCTAATTTGGTCTGTTCCCTCGAAACTGGGACTTAGGTCCCCCCGCTTTCTGAGGCCTTGTTGCTGGTGTCACTTACCTTGTGTTATGGGACAGTAATGGTACATGCTTCTTTGGTTTCCAGGCTGTGTCCTTGTTGTGTTAGATAACTTGTCTGCTGTGAAGGCTGTGATCTCATGTTATGGCATGGCCTCCTTAATTTTCAGGCCATGTCCGTTTGTTGGCCTTGTTGTGCTAGACAGCCCGTCTACTATCTATACCTATAAGCCAATTCCCAAAAAACAGGCCTCTAAATACTGTTTCTAAGCCGTTTCTATTCTCCTCCTTGAAAATTTATCTTCACAACATCACTGGCATTACCTGGAAATGTCCATGAGATTTGTGGGAAGGACCTCCACCAGTCATCTCTGGAAAAGTATGACAGCATTCATGGTCATGGGCTTCAGTGGGGTGGACTCTGTGATGATCCCTTAACCATTGTTCAAATATTGCCCATACCTCCTTTGACTCAGTCTCTTGCCTCAGTATTCCCTAGCTTGGCAACTAAGTTTTAGCCAATTAGGTTTAAATAGGCCTTCCATACTGGGACCAGGGAATGTATGGCCTGAGATACCTACCAAACCTTTTACACAGTATTTCAGGTAGCATGTTGCTCCACAATCAGTGTCTTATCTGATTGTCAAGATAGCTATTCAGATTAGCAAAAATATTTCATGGTCAGAATCTGGAGACCAGACATGTCTATGGCAACTTTACTCCTCCTGTGTACTGGGCAATGTTTCCACTGGATGCTTGGTGTCATTGTAGCACTAGCAGTGCCCCTCCATCCTGTAAAAGGCTGGAGAAATGCGAAGGGTTAGGACTTTTTCAACCCACCATGGAAAGCAGGCATGCTGTATCCGGACTTGGTTTTCCTCAGGATCCCATCATTCTGCTCTGTGTTCCCAATCTCTGCACAAATTTTGGGAATTAATAAAACTATGTTGCATTACTACTACTCTTAATGCAAACAGAGCAACAACAAAAAAGAACAAAAGGAAACAAAAGAAAAAAACAAAAGGATAACAATAAAACAATCAGTTCAGCCTTCTCAATCTTTGGCATGGCTGAACTCTGTGAGGTTGTGAAGGAGATGCTTTGCATGATGCACCATTTCTTGTAGCCACATTGCAGGTATTTCAGAGCTTATCAAGAAGCTTTGCTTTACACTTCATAGACTAGTACAGTTGACATCACAATCACTTATAGCAATAGCATTTTACAGACGCAGCAAAACACAAACACTACGCATAACACTATCAAGCTCAATTCCTCTCTGTATTGAGCACATTTCATGATGTGGTGGTTCCATCCTGCAAAACACAAAGACAAAAAGGGAGGGGCTCACCCCTCTGGGTTAGTTTACTCTCAGCTGGTACACGGTGGCTGGCTTTGCTTGGCCTATAGCCATGTTGGCGCTCATCCAAAATTTTTCCCTCCTTGCACCTTGCAGAAGCTGCTTTTACAGCAGTGCTGTCCTCTCAAAGTGGCATCTAGGTTTATCTTGCCACATATCTCTTTTCATTGGCCTTCACCAAGGGTTTTTCTGTCAGGTTATGCTCCCCATAGCCTTTTCCCAATGAAGGGTAATCCACAAGGCGGTGGGAACTAGGGTTTTAAGGTGCCCTATATTCTCCCCTGCCCTTTCCCTAGGGTGGTTATTAAGGGTGTGCAAAGCAGGCTGTATTCGAGTTGGATTCGGCCGTATTTGGGGGACAGTTATTTGATTCACTGATTTGGATCGCTGTCCCCATTCAATCTGGCTGAATCCAAATCTGAAGATTTGATTCTTATTTGGCAAATCAGCGGTTTAGCCATAGACACAGTTATGTTTTTTTCTATATACCTCAAGGTACCAGGCACAGCTCATGAGCGCTGATCATGGGAGTGTGGGAGGGGACCCCACATGCTTGGTGGCAGACCTGGAAGTGGGTGGCGATTGGCCAAGGGGGGACCCCAGGTGCTCCCCCAGGCCAGGAGGCACCAGCTGCTGAGGTGGGGGGGGCCCCACACGCTCAGCAGCAGACCCATCCTCTTCCCCCGCGCTCCTGTGGGATGCTCCATCCACCCCACCATCTCAGTGTTCACAAGCCGCCTGGTACCTTGGGGTATGTAGAAAAAACATAAAGCTGTGTCTATGTCCG